GGTCTGAGTCTGACAAAGAGACAGCGTGCACCCCTTTGTAGAAGTTCACTAAAACCTGACCAAGAGAAAGCTCAACTTCAGAGCCTTTCTGCTTTCATTGCCAGAGATAGCTCTAACTCTGCCAGTCTTACCCTTGCTAATTCAGTTTCTAGAACTTTGTGGTGGAGAAGTTGTGCAGAGGGTTGTCATTCTATTTCCTGGTTTAGGTGGTTGTCACACAGATGTTTTACTTTGTTTAAATGCATTGGTTGAAATGCATTGGGCTGTATTCTCAATTCATGTACGTTACAGTTCAAAAAAACCACATTAAAATAATACACACAAATGAATAAATATAAAAATATCCAGGACAATTCTTTAAAATTAATGTGTAGGAGCCAGTTCTACTAGATTTACAATATATTCTAAAGCTATTATAGTTAAACAGTTTGTTCTGGACCATGAATATACAGACAGTATATTGATAACAAGTTCAGAGCTGGAAAAAAATATACAGAAGAAGCTAATATATGATAAGCACACTCTCAAATCTGTGAAAAATCATCAATTAATCAATAAATGATGTTGCTACAACTGGGAAGCCATTAATTTAAAAAAAGAGTTCTTAAAGGGTTAAAACATTAAAAGTTAACTCTTAAGAAAATCTGGGAGTATTCTTCTACACTTTCAAAATGGGGATCAGTTTTATAATACAACAAACGAACTATAAAATAAAAAATTTGTAAATGTGTTTACATAATTAACATTTTCTATATGGTTGAAATATAATAAAGTCAAAGGTCAAAAAACGCAGCGGAAGAAATTTAGTTTCTCATAGCACAAAAATAACTTAATTTCTCTAATATCGTATAAGTGCTACAAATCAGTAATAAAGTCATCAAGAATACAGTTAAGTATTAGGTAAGTTATAACATCAGGCAGCTCCCAGAAAATGAATGTTGTGGTTCACTAAATGTAATAAAATATAGTTCAGCTTAGTTACTAAGAGAAACTCAAAGCTACTTTGCGATCCCATTTTTAACCTACCAGATGGGCCAAGAACAATTAATTTAAAAATACATCATTTTGATGAGTTTGTGGGGGAAAATTGCAGTCTTATACATTGTAGGGAGTGAAATAAATCAGTGAAACTCATATGGAAGAAACTGGAAATACTGATCAAATTACAAAAGTATTTAGCCTCTGAGTTAGCAATTGCACTTAAATAAATATATTCTATCTCCTCCTGAGGAATGATGTATAAATAATGTGTTCACTGCAGCATTGTTTGCAAGGGTCAAAATTGGGAACTTTTGTATATACATAGGTTATTATCCAGACTGGGAAACAAAGGGAGAAACTCTTAATGTACTGAAATGGAATGATCTCCAACAGATGCTATTGTGAAAAACGCAATGAGCAAAACGATGTGGAGTTACTCTTATTTCGTTGAGAAGAAAAAAATATACATGTTTGTGTGGGATTTTTGTGCATAAAATATCCCTGAAAGGATATTTCAGAAATTGATCTCTGTTAACTGAAATATCTGAGTCACACGTGGGGGATTTCACTGTGTATCTTTTGTAACTTCTGATTTTAGGCCCAAGTAAATGTGTAATAATGATCAGTATTAATAATATTAAAGGAGAAGGGCCAGGCGCCGTAGTGCATGCCTGTAATCCCAGCACTTTGGAAGGCCGAGGCAGGAGGATCTCTTGAGCTCAGAAGTTCAAGACCAGCCTGGGTAACGTGGCAAAACCCCGTCTCTACAAAAGATACAAAAATTAGCCAGGTGTAGTGGCACACGCCTGTAGTCCCAGCTACTTGGGAGACTGAGGTGGAAGGATCACTTGAGCCCAGGAGGTTGAGGCTGCAGTGAGGCAAGATCACACCACTACACTACAGCCCTAGGCAACAGGATGAGACCCTATCTCAAAAAAAAAAAAAAAAAAGTTTAAAAAATCACATTAAAGGAGACCTACAGGAAGCGCAGCCTCAAATGCTGGAACCCAGGAAGACAGCACCATAAAGACTCACTCCGTTACTGGAGCTAATTACATCATTACATCAGCAAATTCCTGCAAACCAGCCTCAACTTTTCTCACCATCAATTAACATAGCCCATGCAGCAAAGAAAGATGCTCATAGTCTTCCCCACTTTTGATAACAGAGGCAGAAAAACCTAAGGAGGTAGGAGTGGGGCTGCCACAGGACACATTCTGCTAGTTTGAATGTTGCATTGAAAACAGCCTTAGGAAATGGGTTCCCCAATTTGGACAAACAGTTAGAAGTTATTGGCAGACAAACTGATTAGAAAAAAAAGACCAACAACCACCATTCATGCATTCAGCTAATATTTTTTGAGTATTTACTGTGTGTTAAGAACTGTTCTGACTGAGAGCCTGAGATATATCAGTAAGCAGCATTTGCCTTTTTGGCAATGACATTCTAATGAGAGAAGACAATACATAAAACTACAATAAATAAAAATTAGCTTATTTTAGTGCTATGAGATACTGGTCTTTATACTATATGTATAATATATTATATTTGAAAAGTACCACCAGAGGAAAACAAAACAGGACTGTGTAAAGATATCCATGTGAGAATATTAAATAAGCAGTTGGATACGAAAGTCTGAAGTTCTGGAGAGATGTCTGAGCTGTTATTAACAAAGTAGACATCATCACCACTGACATATAGATGGCCTTTGTAGTCACGAGACTGAATGCTCCAACCAAGAAAATAAGTGTTGGTAGAGAAGGAAAGAGAGCCGAGGACTCCAGCAGGAAGTAGTCAGGCAGGAGAACAGGAACATACAGAGTTCCAAGTTAATGTACTAGTTAAATTATTCTTCCATGCGTTTATTGACTAAATGTGGATTTAGTACCTACGATGTTCCATACAGTGTGTTGGAACTAGAACTTAAAAGGTGAGCAGAAAGTATACCTATCCTCACCTCCTAGATAACCTTCATTAGCTTAATTTTAATTAACTAACATGCGTCATGGTTAAAATTCAAATAGTTTATGTGTATGTGATCCTTCTAGGAAAATGTGTATGTGATTCTTCTAGGAAAATATGTATGCGATTCTTCTAGGAAAATATTACATATACTAACATATACTAACATATATGTTTATCTTTTATATATATAAGATATATATATCTATATATACATTATTTTTTATAAGAAAAGGGATATACTAACATTGTTTACTGGATTGCTTTCTTTGAGTACATGGTTGGGAGAATTTTTCATAGCATCATCTACAAGCGGACTCTACGCTTTTATTAGCTATATACTATCCTATTACATGATTGTAAAATGAAATCTCATTAACGGAATATGAAAATACCGGTTTCTCAACATATTCATTAACAATTAATGTGATCAAAATTTCATGTTTGTTACTGGACTGTCATGGAAAAGCCAGTGTCTCATTGATCTTCTGGTTTGCGTTCCTTTAGTTATGAATAAGCATTTCTTAATAGGTTTGTTGGCCATTTCCACCTCTCTATCTCTCTCACTCTACCCCTCTCTCCCTCTCTGTACTCTTCCTATAAATAACTTAATTCTTATAGATTAAGGCTTTGGTCCCAACTACAATGTTAGACACTTGGGGAGATGTGAATGAGAGCAGACATTTTACTGAGAATAAATTTTGGAAATAACTATAAGCATGAAGACCTGAAGAAGGCAAGTAGAAGAGAAGTACTTGAATAGTATATTACAGAATGAAAAGCACAATTCAATTCATGTACTTCCCAGGAGTGCTACCCTTTGGCCGAGGTAGTTCTGTCCTGGACTTCACACTTTAAAGAGTCCTTCTCTGGTTCTCCTCCAGCCATGACCCTGGCCATAGGATAATTTGATATTTCAGTGTATAGGCCCAGAGCTGCTGTCTTCCTCATACCCACTATCCAGGATCCCATAAATCTCTGGCAAATGGCCCTGAGATCATCTCTATGTGTCCATCCTCCTGAAGACTCAAACAGCCAACACGGTGCTCACTTCTAGGTCTCAATAACCAAGAGAGGGGCAGTTTGAGAGATCCGTGTGTGAAAAGAACATGGATGGTATGGGCTAGGATACTTAGACTCATGCACACCCGAGGTCCCTCATGGCACAGGATGAAGCCAAGGAGTAGGAAGAGAACAAGGGGTGAACCACAGGGGTCAGAAGCCTCTGTTTAGGCTCTTGCCTGGTGTCCTACAAGTGTTTATGGCAGGCATGCTTCCCAGGAGAAGAGAATTTCCTAGTCACTGTCCTTAAACAGGCCATGCTAGAGGAATAAAGGAAAAGAACAAACATAATGAAATGCTTCTCTCTTCTCACCATGTTAGTCAATTCACTATTGAATTGATTCAGTTTCGGAATCTTTTATGTGCTAATTGCTCAGCCAGACACTGGGAATATCAAAGTGAATAAAATAGGGTCCTTGCCCCTAAGGCATCCCAGTTTCTCCCCTGTTTAAAACCTTTTGGTGCTTCCCATTGTCCTCAGGATAAAGTCCAAATTATTTTCTTTATGGCATAAAGAGTCCTCACCAACACAACCTTACCTACCTAGGTAGGTGAGTCTCCCCCCTTCTCCTTACTCCCCACTCTGCTCCAGCCGCACTGAGCTTTTCCACCAAATAGCTTATACTTTCAAATTTCTGGATCTGAAAATGTCTCCCAGACACCCCCTTCCTATTTCCAATTTCCAAGTCTCAGCTTAAATATCACTACCTCCAGGAAGCATATCTGACCCCCAAACCTGACCCCTGTGCTTATCCTACCATCATTATTATTACATGGTATTATTGGCTATTGACTTGCCTCCACATTGAATTAGTTCTTTGAGAATGGAAACTACATTCCATTGAGCTACACTTCACTTTTTAGGACAGAGCCTGGTAGATAGGAGACACTCAATACAGATTTGTGTTTTAGGTCATTGCATGCTTATGGGTTAGCTGGGGAACTTTGTATCTTTCAGGAAAGAAACCGAGAAGAGTCAGACTCTCCAGCAGGCAGAGGGCGCTAGTGAGTGAGCTAGGCATAGAGGATTATGATGTCATAGAGGCTTAGAATCTTGGCATTAGCAGGGAAGGGAACCAATCTGGTTCAGAAGACTTTGGCTTCTGATAGTCATGGACTCACTAGGCTGCTGAGGAAGATCAATAATATCTACTGGAATCAGTCATGAGAAGTCAAGCATGGAAATTGTGAATTGAGAAGTGTGTGGCCAGACCAGGTAACACAGAAACCTTGTCTTTTGGGCCCTCTCTGCATGGCTTTTTAATGTGTTCATTACATATTTACTTACTGAGGCCCATGCAATGCCATTCAGTGTGCTGGATGAGAGGATTCCAGGATTCATCCTATATTTCAGGAAAAGGCTCCTGCTTCTATTTAAGAGGAAGACACTGCATCCTGGCTAACACAGTGAAACCCCATTTCTCCTAAAAATACAAAAAAATTAGCCGGGCATGGTGACAGGCACCTGTAGTCCCAGATACTCAGGAGGCTGAGGCAGGAGAATACTGTGAACCCTGGAGACAGAGCTCATCACAGTGAGTGGAGATCGAGCCACTGCACTCCAGCCTGGGCAACAGAGCGAGACTCCATCTCAAAAAAAAAGAGGAAGTCACTGGAGCCTCTGGGGGTGGGGATAGTGAGGATGTCTGTGCTCATGGAACTAACGGACCACAGAAGTCAGACAATTAGGGAAATAATAACCACTATAAAAATGTAATGAGAAGTACAGGGGATCCAAGAAAGCCTATCAGGGAGACAGAGGCTATGGGTTAAGGAAGTTTTCCTTGAGGAGTGATGTGTAAGCAGAAACTTCAGGTTTGAACGATATTCAGTGAGCATGTGGGGACAGAGACCCAGGAAGGGTGGTTCAAGCTGGGGAAGAGCACGTTCAAAGACCCGGAAAGAGGTGAGAAAATTCAGCAGGTGTCTGCTCTGAGCCAGTCTGGTGCCTGAGAGAACAGTGAGTGGACATGAGACTGGGCCGGTGGGCAGACGTCAGACAGAAGGCACCTTGCCAGGGCCCCCCTGGTGGTTTGGGCTCTGTATTAATCCTCACTGAATAGAGCAATAAGAAAAGCTAGGAAGATGGCCCTGGCCCTGGGCCACAGGTGTTTGATGTGATCAGCAGATTTCCTGAGGCAGGCTATGCAGAGCTTGGTTGGGAAGGAGGGGAAACGGAGCATGGAGAGAATATTTATATACTTATTTATTTTAATTTTTATTTATTTACTTATTGAGATGGAATCTCTTTCTGTCTCCCAGGCTGGAGTGCAGTGGTGCAGTCTCGACTCACTGCAACCTCCGCCTGCCAGATTCAAGCGATTCTCTTGCCTCAGCCTCCCAAGTAGCTAGTATTACAGGTGCATGCCACCATGCCCAGCAAATATTTGTAGTTTTAGTAGAGATGGAGTTTCACCATGTTGGCCAGGCTGATCTCAAACTCCTGACCTCAAGAGATTCACCTGCTTTGGCCTCCCAAAGTGCTGGGACTACAGGTGTGAGCCACTGAGCCTGGCCAAGGAGACAGTCTTAAGAAGAAACTCTTGCAGGAGGCAGAGTGGTCAGGAGGCACATTTATTGTACAGGAGCTAGCGTTCTGAAAGTGGAGGAAATAGATCATGTTCACCAGGCAGAAGGAAGACAGTGGAGACAGCACTGGCTCAGAGGGGCAGGACCTGCATCCATGGGGCGAAGCTGCAGAAGGACCTGATGTTGCCCTCCCTATGCTATAGTCAACAAGACTGGTTTCTAACCTGCTCTCCTTCTCTGATACGGCACAACCTCCATATTCAGGACCTGTTCCCAGGATCTGACTATGGTGGACATGCTTGGAGTGGAGATGTTGGTGGGACTAGTGAGGCAAGCCTCTGGACCCAGGCTCCAGGTGCCCTCTGATGCCTCTGCATCTCTGGTCACTGGAATGAGAATTGCTTCTGTAGAAACAGCTCAGCCTGGACTTGTAAGGATGGACCCTAACAAACTGGACTTCCAAGTGGTGATGAGACTCTGCACTTTGGTAAGTTCAGGGCACTGACCTTCAGAATAGAGAAAGGTAAACCGGAGACAAAAGACAGAAATATAGAGACAGGATGAAGACCAGGGAATGATAGAAAGGCAGAGAGAAAAATAGTAAAAGGCAAAAATAAACACAGAGAGAAACAACAGAAAATAAAAACAGAAGAGGCTCACTCCTTCCTCATCCCTCTCAAAACCTAGTCTTAGGTCTGACCCCTAAGGGAGCACATTCAAACAACAAGGAGACAGGGACAAATACTGGGCTCCCTGCATACACCCACACACTCAAACTCACCCCTGTACAGCTGCAGGGGCACCCAGGTGTATGCTTGTGTGCGCATGTGGACACACACACTTCCTGTCAAACAGCTTTGAACACTACAAAGGTGGTAGAGAACATGGCCCTGTACTCTTTCACCTCTTCCCTGTTTTTATGCTGGTCTGTCTGTGTCTCATTTCCATTTTTGGTGTACCTCTCCATTGCTCACCTCTCTCCTTCCCGTTCCCTCTCAGGCAAGTCAAGGCATTGCAGGGCTTGCATCTGCCACCTCAGCCTCTTTGCAGCTTCCTCTGACCTGGAAGGAGCAACGGGGTGACTTGTCCCCACGCCCATCCTTTAGGAGTCTTGCTCCAGTGTCTTCCTCTTAAATGGAAGCAGGAGCCTTTTCCATGAAAGATAGGATGAATCCTGGAATAACTGGCAGGGATAGAATTGTGACTAAATTAAAGTCAACATCCTAATCCAAGTCACTCTTCCTTTTTTAGGTGGGAACTGCCCTTGACCCAGTTCAGGCTGCAACTGTATAGCCAGAGACTTAGGATCATGAAGGGTTTAGACCAAGTGGCAGGGCCTTAAGAGATAACTCTTCCTTCTCAATTGTCTCTCATCCTAATGCTGTAGTTCAGAATATTCAAACATAGGGGTCCTTATAGGAGGTAGCACTGCGCTCCCCTTCTTCCCAGAGAAAGTCTCGGGCTTTCTCTGTAAGAAGGAGGGCCCTGACATATGCCCAAGCCTTCTCACGCACATGCCAGGGACCTCCTTCCCACAGAGAAACCCTGAGATGAGGCTCCAATGGTTCAGAAAGTGAAAGTGAAGAGAGGCCGGCTGGGGCTGCGTCCAATGTGTGAGTCTGAAAGTTACTGTTACTAGTGGGTGGAGGTGTCGGCCACACCTGGCTCAATGGGACCCAGTTTTTACACTACGAACTGGATTTAGGTGAATCCCCAGATAAAAAAGGGTTGAGTCTAAGAGCATGTCACCCATCATTCAGGACAGCCACAGCCCTGGGTCTTCTATAAGTCACAGGGGTGATTCAGATAGCAAAGTAGGTCATCTGATAGGCACCCTTTAGCAACCATCTGACTGGAGAATCATGCACACCTTCAGGAAAGGATGATATAGATTTTTGTCCTACTGGGGTGGATTAGTCCTTCTCCACACTGCTCTAAAGATACTACCCAAGACTGGATCATTTATAAAGGAAAGAAGTTTAATCGACTCACAGTTCCACATGTCTGAGGAGGCCTCAGGAAACTTACAATCATGGCAGAGGCAAAGGGGAAGGACCTTCTTCACTTGGTGGTGGGAGACAGAAGTAAGAGCGGGGGAAATGTCAGACACTTATAAAACCATCAGATCTTGTGAGAACTCACTATCATGAGAACAGCATGGGGGAAACTGCCACAGTGGTCCAATCACCTCCCTCCCTCAACGTGTGGGGATTACAGGTCCCTCGCTCCACATGTCGGGATTACAATTCAAGATGAGATTTGGGCAGGGACACAGACCCAAACCATATCATTATCATGGGGTAACCCCCAGAAAAAATTCATTTTTCTATTTTAATTTATTTTATTTTATTTCATTTCATTTCATTTCATTTTTTGAGATGGAGCTTCGCTTTTGTTGCCAAGGTTGGAGTGCAATGGCACGATCTCGGCTCACTATAACCTCCGCCTCATGGGTTGAAGTGATTCTCCTGCCTCAGCCTCCCAAGTAGCTGGGATTACACGCACCTGCCACGACGCCCAGCTAGTTTTTGTATTTTTCATAGGGATGGGGTTTCACCAAGTTGGCCAGGCTGGTCTCGAACTCCTGACCTCAGGTGATCCACCCGCCTTGGCCTCCCAAAGTGCTAGGATTACAGGCATGAGCCACCATGCCCAGTCCTCCCCCGGAAAGACTTTAGTGTGAGGAGAGATTTGTAGCTACTGTCCCCAGGAGTCCCTCTATCTACAGAACACAAAAGAAGAGGACAAGACAAGAGATGTGGCTTTCTAAACATCAGGGAGAGGGTTTGAGCAGGACTTGGGGGAAGTACCTTGACAGCAGGTACGGATCAGATGGAGGGCAAGTAGGGAGTGTCCAGCAGGAGAGAGACGGCTAAGACGGAGGCTGGCCCCTGCTAGGAGCTATTCACACTGGCTCTAACTGTTAAGACTCATGAGAAAGTTCAAGTAATATCAATTTGATCCAACTAAACAGCCATCATCACAAACCTCAAGTTCTCCTCACCATGTACTTATGATTATGCATGGACACATGCCTACATGCATTCACGTGTGTGCACACAAACACACACACACACACACACACATTCTCACAGAGATATGGGCAAGTGTGTGCTTAGTGGAAAGCCCACAGCAGTAACTGGTTCAGTTTAAAAAAACTAGTTTGGGGCCCGGTGCAGTGGCTCACGCCTGTAATCCCAGCACTTTGGGAGTCAGAGGTGGTCGGATCACCTGAAGTCAGAAGTTCGAGACCAGCCTGGTTAACACGGTCAAATCCCATCTCTACTAAAAATACAAAAATTTGCTGGGCATGATGGCCGGTGCCTGTAATCCCCGGTACTCCAGAGGCTGAGGCAGGAGAATCACTTGAACCCGGGAGGCAGAGGTTGTAGTGAGCCAAGATCTCGCCCTTGCACTCCAGCCTGGGCGACAAGAGTGAAGCTCCATGTCCAGTAATGGTACTTCCCTCCAAAGAGAAAAGAAAGAAAGAAAAAAAAAAAATTAGTTTGGGCAAGAGGCTTTTCTCACAATCCCGAGGATGCCAGAGGCCAGAAGGTGGTTGCAACTTCACTTCAGCAGTTGTCAATCCAAATCCCACACCCATCCCCCACACCGGTGACAGGGCTCTGACAGGCCTGGTGCCTCACCCACATAGGTTTGTGGCTTTGTGAGCTGAGTGCCCACAGGGGGTACAGGCTCATTTCCCATGCTTCCACATTTCCCTGAGGAGGCTAGATAACAACCTGCTCACTGCCTACTGTTTCCTGGCCACTTTTAGACCCTCTATTCTGCTCTGGGGCCATAACAGTGGTGTTCATCCTCTCATCATGTGCCATTGGAGGGACAAGGCAGAAACCATATAGGGGCTTCCCCAGGGGCTGCATACTGGGGCCAAGGCCCAGGGACCTTCCTGGGAGAACTTGGATTTCCTGGGTGGAGGAAGGTAGATAGATAGAAGTAAAGCAAGAGTTGTTTGGATTTTCTCTATACCTAGAAGAATGAGGAAATTACAAAACTGCTGAATGGTTGAGTTTGAGGATCCCTATAAGGTCCAGTTCCCCCTTCCTCATCCCTACCACTGCCCCTTTATAGAAGAAGAGATACAAGCCCAGAGAGATGAAGAGAACTGCCCAAGCCCTGAGGCTTGGGAGTTGCAGAACCAGCCCTAGAACTCAGGTCCTGCCATGCCAAAAGCACTGTACTTTTCATTTCATCTCACTGTAACCACCGCAGTGCTCTGTGCATGGGACAAGATGATGCGTTCAGGAAGGGTGTAACAATTGGTCACTCTAAGTACAAGAGTTCCATTGCGCCTGGGTCCCTGGATGCCACATTAGAGACAAGAACAAGCACATGTTCTGGAGTGGGATAGAGCTTGGCTTGAATCCACTTACAAGCAACTGAGGTGGATCTTTGAACTTCAGTGGTCCTCGTATGATGTGAAGTGGACTAAAAATGTCTACTTGAGGCAGGTAGCGGTCATGACATTTGTTGATGTTTGTGAAGGGCCCGACACTTGACCCAGGATCTGGCAACTGAGGGTCACACTGTTTGCTCATTAGCTAAGAGACCTTAGGCACATTGCTTACATATTCTGGTCTTTTGATTCTTTATCTGGCAAATGACTACCTAGTAAGCAACAAACATGCTGGCATATGCAAAGGTAGAATTACAGGGCTGGCTGGCCCCTCTGAGGTATCCAGCTCTGCTTTTTCAACCCTGGTCTGAGTCATTATCCTGAAGATAGATGTATTTGGGTGGTAAGAAAGGAGGAAATGAAAGCAGGCACCCAGATTTCCTTCTGATGAGAATATTCTTTTCTTTTTCTAGTACCTCCAAGTGTCCAAAAGATGTGTGACCAGCCAAAACACAGTCAATGCTGCCCAGCAAAAGGCAATCAATGCTGCCCACCAAAACAGAACCAGTGCTGCCAGCCAAAAGGCAATCAATGCTGCCCACCAAAACAGAACCAGTGCTGCCAGCCAAAAGGCAATCAATGCTGCCCTCCAAAACACAATCACTGCTGCCAGCCAAAACCCCCTTGCTGCATTAAGGCCAGGTGCTGTGGTTTGGAGACCAAGCCCGAATGCTCACCGCTTAATATGGAGTCTGAGCCCAACTCACCACAAACTCAGGACAAGGGCTCTCAAACCCAGCAGCAGCCCTATAGCCCACAAAATAAGTCCAGTCCAAGCAAATGGGAGCAGAAGTCAAACAAATAGATTGTCCCTGGGGCCATGCCTTTCACTTTGTAGGGTGGGGTATTACTGAGAGTCAGGCTAGACCTATGTTTAGAGAAGCAGTTTTCACAGTGACTACCATTTCCACCCAACAAGAGGCTTCTATTTCCCATCATAGCTCCCTACCCTAGGGAGGCCTCCATCTGGAAATGGGAGGATGAAGAAGCTGGAATCATCTTTCCTAGTGATCCTGACATTTAGACAGCACAGAAATAAAAGAGCAATAAAAAGAACATTGCATCCCTTTGTTCCTTTACTTACCTGTGAAACCATCTCACCAGCCTGGCCTAGAGCCCAAGAAAATATTATGGGCATGTCCTGGAGGTCCAAGGAGCAAGAACTAGTATCCTGAAGAACAAAGCCTCTGCTGAACTGGAGCTTAGTTGACTGACTCATCTTGGTTTTAAAATGAAAGTCCTGCATTCCAGGAACCCCTTCAGTCCTTATTAAAAAAAAAAAAAATTATTGGTCCCCCAAAGTTCAAGAACCCTAATTCCCCTGGGTCCTGGGTACCACATTGTACTCCAGACCAAGCAAAAATATGTAAATCCCTTGGAGTGATTCTACCCCCCATCCAGAGATTTTAGATGGAGGTAGAGTACCCAGGACTCAGCAATGCACAGTGACTGGCGGCAAAGAGCGAAATCTTCCAGCATCAGCACTGGCTCTTCGGTCAGAGAGTAGCAATCCCAAAGCAAGTGGTTCAGTGTCTCTGAGGCTCTATTCCTCATGTGTAACATGAAGATAATGGTACTTCCCTCAAAGATTTTTTTTATGAGAATTAAAAGGGATAATTTATTTAAAGTGCCTGACATAGGGTCTGACACCGAGTGGCTATTCAGTGTGCGTAGTTCTCAAACTCCTCTCTGCCACAAGGCCCTATTTACCTCTAAAGAAGCCATCATCCTCCAATAATTTGTCCCCAAGCACACCCCCACTAGTCCAGGTAGACAAGTAGAAATAGATAAATCAGGTTCATTAAGCATACTTGTAAACTTCCATTTTTACTGCTTTGTGATGTGTAATTAACATATCACTTTTAAAATTTTTTGAGTGCACTTCTGTACTCTCTCTCTCATGCTTCTCCCTGTCCACCAATCCCCAGAAAACTACTGGTCTACTTTTGTCCCTTCAAATTAGTGTTTTCAAGAATTTTATGTAAGTGGAATCACACAGTAGGTGTGCTTTTTTATGCTGACAATTTATTCTTTCAAAGCAGTTCTTCCCTACCCGCTAAACACTGCATATATGAAGTAGCTCAAAAACAGCAGTTTCTATTTTGACACCATCTAAGGTCTATAAAAGTCATCTTCAATTACTTGGAATTTCAAAATAGAGATTCCCTAGTAACAATGCACTGGTAGCACACAAAATATTCCTGCACTTTGTTTAGTTTGTGGGAGAAAATTTTTTAAATTGGAACAATTTCGTAGTCCTACAAAGGTTATGTTGGAAGCAGTTTATTTTTCCCTCTAGGAGGGCAGGCAGCCATCTCTCCAAAGTTTTTGTAAATGCTAAGGTTCAGATTTCAAAATAAAAACAGGTTTTCATGAAACATCTAAAATGGGCCACTCTATTTCTATTCTGGGTCATGGCATCTCTGAATTATTTTTGTATTCCCACACTGCAAAGGGCAAAACCCCATTCCTTGCATGTAAACTTTCAGAAGTGGGGCAGCACAATTTAGGAGTTTCTTGAAGTAGCTAGAGGCCTGCAAGGTCAGATCATTCCAAGAATCTGGCCAGATGGGAGAAATCTTGAGATTCTCAGCACTGGGCTCCTGAAGACTTCCACGTGCCACATCTAGCTGGTCCTGGGGGATTTGTGGTTGCTGCAGTAGTTGGAGGGTTGCTACTCTTCGCAGCCCAGGTGGTGGGTGCCCTGCTCTCCATCCTGGGAGCCTCCTCTGGCTGTCATGCTCCAGGGACTACTGGGGTTCCAAGGTGAGACCTCCACCCTCCCGTGGTGCCAGCCTCCTATTTGGCATCGCCCCCCAACTCATTGGTGGAAGTCAGTGAGAGTCCTGCTACACTGGGCCTCACCACATACCCAGGCCCAATGCAGCTGGGCAAGATCTTGGCAGAGCTGGGCCTTGGGATCTGCACCCTGTGCAAGGACAACAGAGATGAGCTGGCTCACCTGCCTTTCCCTTGCTGGGGTCTGGGGAAGCCAGCGGTAATTACCCAACCCTCTGTGAAAGGCGAGACTGTGGGTCTGCGGGAATGGTGGGAAGACCCTGCCCAGCCTGGATACTCCAACCTTCACCCCCGCTCTTTGCCCCACCCCAGTCCCACTCTCTGTCCTCTTCCTGAGTCTCCAGGCAGCTCTCTGGGTTGACCAACCCCTGCGGGGTGCTCTGGCGCAAGTCAAGTCCCTCTTCTGCCACTTCCCAGGCCAAACCACTGTGCGTTCTTTTATACCTGACCCCTTTCACTCAGCTAAATTAGACTGAGATTCAAACATGTTTTTGCATGTATCCACAGTTCATTCTTTTTCATTGCTGAGTAGCAAATACCCTCATTATTGTGAATATGTCACTTTTGTTTATCAATCCTTTGATGGGCATTTGGGTTGTTTCCAATTTGAGGCTATTACAAATAAAACTGCTATGAACATTCATGCACAAATCTTTGTATGAACATATGCTTTCATTTCACTTCAGTAAAGACCTCAGAGGAAAATGACTGTTTTATATAATAGGTATATGTTTTACTTCTTAAGAACCTGCCCTACTGTTTCCCAAAATGGTTCTGCCATTTTACATTCCCATGAGAAGTGTATGGCAGTTCCAGTTGTTGCACAGCCCTGCCAGTTATTTGTATGCTCACTTTTTCTATTTCTAGAGTTCCAGACTTTTTAATAAATATGCAGTGTTGCTTCATTGTGGCTTTAATTTGCATTTTCTTAATGGCTAATGACATGGAGCATCTCTCCTTGAGCCCTTCTGCCTTTGTATATCATCTTTGGTGAATTATCTGTCCAAATATTTCCTCCATTTTTTTTTACTGTTTGGAGCTATTTGGATTCTTATCACTGGATTTTAAGGGGATGTGTGTATACATATGTATGTGTGTGTATTTATGTGTATATCTATATACATGTATGTATGTGTGTGTATATACACATGTATGTATGTGTGTATATATATGTGTGTATGTGTGCATATATGTATATATGTATATTCTTGATACAAGTGTCTTGTCAAATAAATTATTTAACATATTTTCTCTGGACTGTGGCTTATCATTTTATTCTCTTAAATTTTTTTTTCAAATAGCAGAAGTTCTTAATTTTGATAAAGTCCAGTTAGTTGCTTTTTTATGGGTTGTGTTTATTGTGTCACACCTAAGACATCTTTGCCTGACTCTAGGACACAAGGATTTTCTCCTATATTTTCTTCTAGAAGTTAATTTTTGTTCAGGCATACCTTGAAAATATTGCTGGTTCAGTTCCAGACTGCCACAATAAAGCGAGTTACACATTTTTAAAATTTCCCCGTGCATATAAAAGTTATGTTTACACTATATTATAGCTTATTAAATGTGCCATAATATTATGTCAAAAAAGTACATACCTGAGTTAAAAATACTTTATTGCTAAAAAATGATAATCATTGGAGCCTTCAGCAAGTGGTAATCTTTTTGATGGTGAAGGATCTTGCCTTGATGTTGACAGCTGCTGACTAGAGTGACTGGTACAGCTTTTTTTTTTTTTTTTTTTTTTTTTTGAGACAGAATCTCGCTCTGTCACCCAGACTAGAGTGCAGTGCTGTGATCTTGGCTCACCGCAACCTCTGCCTCCTAGGTTCAAGCAATTCTCAAGGTACAGTTTCCTGAGATAAGACAACAATCAAGCTTGGTGCATCAATTGACTCTTCCTTTCATGGAAAATTTATCTTTAGCATATGATGCTGTTTGATAGCATTTTACCCACAGTAGAACTTCTTTCAAAATTCGAGTCAATCATCTAAAAACCTGTTGCTCCTGTATCAACTAAGCTTATGGAATATTCTAAATTCTGTGTTGTCATTGCAACAATGTTCACAGCATCTTCACCAGGAGTAGATTCCATCTTGAGAATCAATTTTTTTGCTCATCCATAAGAAGCAACAATTCATCTGCTCAAGTTTTATTATGTGATTGCAGCAATTCAGTCACATCTTTGAACTCCACTCATAATTCTAGTGTTCTTGCTATTTCTAACACACCTGTGGTTACTTCCACCACTGAAGTCTTGAATCCATCCAAAGTCATCCATGAGGGTTAGAGTCAACTTCTTCCAAACTTCCGTTAGTGTGGATATTTTTACCTCCTCCCATGAATCACAAATATTCTTAATGGCATCTAGAATGGTGAATTCTTGCCAGAGAGTTTCAGTTGACTTTGTCCAAGTCCATCAGAGGAATCACTATCTAAAGCGTCTATGGCAGCTATATCCTTACAAAGTGTATTTCTTAAATAATAAGACTTGAAGGTTGAAATTACTTCTTGATCTGTGGGCTGTAGAATCGACATTGTGTTAGCAGGCATGAAAACATCAATCTCCTTTATATCTCTATCAGAAATCTTGGGTTACTAGGTACATTTGTCAATAAGCAGTAATATTTTGAAAGGAATCTTTTGTTCTGAGCAGTAGGTCTCAACAGTGGGCTTAAAATATTCAGTAAACCATGCTATAAACAGATTTTCTGTCAACCAGACTTTGCTGCTTTATTTATAAAGCACAGGAATAATAGATTTAGTATAATTCTTAAGGACTTTAGGATTTTGGGAATGATACATGAGGATTGACCTCAAAGTCATCAGGAATATTAACCTGTAACCAGAGGGTCAGTCTGTTCTTTGAAGCTTTGAAGCCAGGCATTGACTTCTCCTCCCTAGCTGTGAAGTCCTAGATAGTATCTTCTTCCAATAGAAGGTTGTTTCATCTATACTGAAAATCAGTTGTTTAGAGTAGCCACCTTCATGGACTATCTTAGCTAG